TGTGCTCTTCCGATCTATCTATTTCTATCGGTTTTTTTAAGCAGGGTTTAACCGTCTTAGGTTTCCCTCTGTGTCCAACAATCGCTTAGCTAATTCCTTGTTTGTGTGTTATTGCAATATTTTTTCATGCATGGCTGCACTCTACTCGATAACTTCCTAAACAGTTACTATATTCAAATCTTGTGGAGATGCATATTGTTTTGATACCATCTAGCATTACAGATTATGCGTATGATTCCGTTTCGGATTCCTTGTATAATCATTTCATTAGAATTCTTAGTGCATCCTAACAGTTGGATTCCATATGTCCATATAGACCTTATTATGATGAGGCAGATAAGTCTTTTGTGGTAAAGATCATCCACCAATTGTGGTTTACGTCTAATTAGCCAGTACATTTGACGTATTTTTATTCGGATTTGTTCCGCTTTCTTTTGTAGGCGATTCTTCCATGTCAATCTTTCATCAAGATGCATGCCCAAGTACTTTGCCGAGTTTCTCTCTGGTATTTATTGGTTGTCCACATATACTCTCAGATCTGGGTTTACACGCCGTAGCGTGTAGGTAACATGTGTCGATTTTAACTTGTTGAGTTTGATTTTCTAGTTTGTTGTCCATTTTACAATTTGATTCAAAACCAATTGAAGATTTTTGTTTACTTTAGATTGTGATTTATTCACAGCCATTACAGCTGTGTCATTAGCAAAAGTGACTATGATAGTTTTCTTATTTGTTGGTATATCTGCGATAAATATCAGATATAAGATGACGCTACCTAGAGGAATTCCCACTCTTATTAGATAGAATGCAGATTTAGCTTCCTCATACTTTACTCTGAACTTACGCTCTGAAAGATATGACTCCAGTATTCTGCAATAATTACCTAGCAGCATCTTATTCAGCTTAAACATAAGTCCCTTATGCCATACCTATCGAATGCCTGCGCAACGTCCAAAAACACCGTTGAGCAGTACATTCTTTCCTCAAATGCTTTTTTAATTATATTGAGGTTACCCTATGTATTTGGTCAATAGTTGAATGTTGATTACGGAAACCAAATTGATGATTTGGTATTTTTAGCGCAGTGGGTTAAGTCGTTTGAGAAGTAATCTTTCAAACAATTTTGATATTATTGGGAGCAGCGAGATTGGTTTGTATGATGTTATTTCTTCGACAGGGTCTTTATCGGGTTTATTTATCATAATAACCTGCGCTATTTTAAAACTTATATATATTTTAAAACTATCATATGCATTCCAATCTAATGCAAGTATTAAGGATATACGTGATAAACACAATTGCCTTTTTTGATAATTCTTTGAATACTTTGGTGGTATCTTATCAATTCCTGGCGCTTTTTTCATGTTTCTTGAACCATAATGTTGTTTGAAGTTGACGTTAAATTTTTTGCTGCTTTACAAATTGCTTCAGTCAGGTATTGTGCTTGTTTATTTACCTCTTCTGCAGATTTAAGACTTAATTTCAGATTTATCATTTGGTTCAAATTCTCCCTGAATTTGTCCCAGTTCGTGTGCTTATGCGGTGGTTCTTTTTTCTGTTATATGACTGAGGAACTTAATGTTAGTATCACAGACACATAGTCCGAGGAGAGATCATCTATGTTGTCAACTTCAGTATATATAGCTTGTTAAAACTTCTTTCGTTATATAAAAGTCAATTAGATCCGGCTATCCTTGTCCATTGGTCAAAATGTTGATTTACTTGAAGATAGGAATTTGCACTTGGTGGTCCTAATCGCTCTCAACATCTACCCTTTGGAGTAATTAACCGAGACCTCCATGCTGTATGCTTGGCATTGAAATCTCTTCCGATTATAAAACGTGATCCTAATTTTCTCAATTTTTCTTCAAATTGCTCTTTTTTAATGTTATGTCGAGGTGGACAATATGCTACTCGTATATTAAGATCCGCGCTATTATGTTGTACCGTATAATTACAATGGCCTGCAGGAATTCCTTTCTAATTTCCTCCTGTGAAAAGTGCTTTTTGTTTTGCAAAGTTGTTTTTAACAATAATGGCTAATCCTGAGCTTTACCATTGGGATGAGTCGTGTGATATACCTTAAAATCAAACATCTTTAGGTGGCTTTTACTAGTTAAGTGTGTTTCCGAAATTATGTCTATATTCTATTGTTTTAAGAAGATTTCTAGTTCCTTGCTTCTTAAAGCCAGGCCATTCGCGTTCCAGATTATTATATATCCTAAACAATGTATCCGTCATTTCTATTCCTTGTGTTGACATTATCAGAAATCTGCGTATTTATTTATTTTTAGGTTTTCCAATCTATGCTCATAAGAAAGGGGACCCAAGACAAAACCAAATATTAAGTTACCGCATATTTGTGCCGCTTCACACTTTTAAAGGGTTAAAAAAATCGGTTTTTTTATTTTTTTTATTTCAATACAAATATCGTCGAAGCTACGAGATAAAAAAAATGTTTCAACCAATGTTGTTGAGCGACGATTAAAAATGATGATTAAAAATAGAGGTAAATAGGCTTGAGTTGTAAACACTGAAGTACATAATGAAATAAAAATGTACGAAATTTGTAATTATCATAATATTTAAAATGGTTTGGGTTAGGGTTAGGTTTGGGTTAGTTTTCTTGGCGTTATCCAAAAAGGCGTCGTTTTGCAAAAAGGCTGATTATACAAAAAGCCTACGACATATATATATATATAAACAAAAAACGCAGAAAGAAAAAAAGGTGAAATAAGGAGAAGATTAATTAAATCTTTACTATTTACATTATTTAATTATACGTAATATGAAATGAATACATCTTTACAACTTTTAGTATAAATAAAACAATAAAACAACAAAATGTTAATAATATTGTTTTTTATATTTTAATATTATTGTCTTTTAGAGTAACAATAATATAATACATTAATATAATTTAATGACAGTAATATAATAAAGTAATATTAATAAAATTACAAATAATGTAAATATAATATTTATGGTTCAAACTGATTACAAATATGATGATCATGAAAATGTATGCAAAGAGATTGCTTACTCTATGCACAAGTTATAATAGCAATATTGCCGCAAATATCGCATGTTGCTTTTGAATGTTTTTTAAAACAAAAATCGACTGGTGTATCAAATTCGTCTGGTATAATATCTACATAACCACTTTTATACCAAGCATACTGAAATAAATTTTTAAATCTTGGAGATGAAAATTGAAAATGTATCAGTGAATGTAGTTTTAAAATAGAATTTCTTGAATGAAGTTTAATTCTTAGCTTAATTCTTGGTTTTGTCTGGACAATAACATTAAAAGCTCATCGAAATCGGAAGGAGACACTTGGGTCCCTTTCCTTGTCAGTATTAATATGCATTTGCTGGATTTTCTGTAACATATTCCAGATATGGATTGATGGCTTATTTGTGTTATTCTGCACTATCTTTGATTCTATTAAGGGTGTGATCTTCTCTTTTACTATACTAGCGAAAGATTCAAATAATGTTACTTTTTTAGGTCGGCGGAGATGTGATTTTTTCCAGTTATATATTTTTGCCTCTGTTACTTGTTTAGGAGACACCTCTTTATAAGACGTTTCTGGTGACAAGATAGCTTTTCTCTTCTTACATCCTTTCTTAGGTTTACGCACACTTTCCTTAGTTTCCCATTGCAGCTCTCCCTCATCCGTTTCATAATTAAACCGTTCACCATCTTTTGTACCTTGCATCGTTTTGACTAGCGCCTCTAGGTAGCTAATTTTTTCCTCCGCTTGTCTTCATGCTTTCCAGAAAAGGATTTTATTTTGCGTTTGTACAAAAGTGTTTATACTATCACCAGCAGGTTGGTCCCCCCCCCCAGAATCCTTGGGGCCAGCCTCCGAAGAGGGTGGATTTTCCGGGGCATAGAGTCCTTAAAAGGGGCAAAGGCT